AGGTGAGTCCTCTGGTATAGATAGAGCGTGGGTCCCCAGGCGAGATCAAGATGGCGGTTCGGGAGCGCTGCCGTTTCCGCGCTTAGCCGGGTTCGCCCTTTGCCGAGACCCCTTCCCACGCCCCCGCCTCAACCGGCTCTCGGACCCTTGCGCCAGCACATGTTCACTAGTCCCACGTCTTGTTATATCATACAGCCCCTGGGGCCTCACTGAGGCTCCCCCAATTCCCATAGGCAATCTTAATACTGCTGTGGTTGGCAAGAAACTAATCGTGTGGCGTCTAGCTTGCTAGACAAGACTGGCTTTTGTAGTCAACCATGTAGCGGCGTCTCTTAGGTCTGAACCGAAACGCAGCGCAGGTAGGTGATCAGGTATAGTCGACGGGTGATCACGGGAGTTGCCATATGTTTGATAACTGAAGTGATGAATTGGATGTGCGTTAATACTCAATGAGATGTCAGATAAAGAGTCCTGGCGGAGTGAATAGTGTCATTGAAGATATACGGACCTGTGTCGCAAATACACGTACAGCTTGGTGTCGGAGCTATCGGCACACACGATGGGGTCGATGCCACCGGTCAGATTATCAAAGAGGAGCCATTAACAAAGAAAGGCGACGCCGAGGTTTCAGCTTCGACGTATGAAGCTTGTTAACAGCACGCAGTGCAGCATTAGTCAAGGTTTCAAAGAAGAGCCAGAAACAGAGGAAAGCGACACCGAGGTTCCAGTTTTGCCGGATGAAGCTGGTCAAGAGCACGAGAAGCTGCATCGCTGACGCCAAGAGGGAGGCGATGGGATAGAGAGGATATGTAGCGTCGGCGGCGACCATTACAATATCGCTCTTGTACGTCTCTGACACTGGCGGAGCTGGCACCTCTTTATACCCTACACATACATCAAGCATCGAGCTGTAGTATTCGAACCCGTGGCTCCAAACGCCAAACGTATCTCCAGAGAGTCGCACACCGTACATGAAGTCGCACAGCTACAAGGACCATCCGGGCATACCTAGTGAGCGATAAGCGGGTAAGAGCCTACAAGTGGGGCACAGGGTACTATTGACATGACAGTAAGGCTTCCATGGCAGATGCTAGTACGTGCCAGATGGGTACGCGCATCATTGCGGTAAGCAGGCCGCGGCGCGTTTCTCTGAGCTTCAATGACATCGCCATTCTTGTCAACGGAACGGCGGGAAACGAGAGATGCGCCACATCACTACGTGCGAATCCGATGTGCGCCGCCTATTGTACTTTCGTGGGTAAAGCAGTCGTCAGCACGACCCGCTTGATGTCCTAATCTCGAACGGACGCGGTATGGCAAAGACCAGGAGTTCAGACGACGTGCATGCAATTGTTCATAATATTCAAGTCTCAACGTCGACGACCTCTGTCTCCCGACATGACGATGGTGCCCCACATGTATTCGATCGGAGCTGTATATATAAAGTCAGCTCGTACCATCGGATGCGCGAGTTGACGCGCACCATCATTTGGGTCGATCACAGCGCCCGCGACACGCAACCTGATGCTATTCATAGCTACCCGTCCACTCTCCTTGGACGTGGTGAGGCGATACTTGAGAAGCGGGCGCTGACCGACGGAGTAGGCCTAGAACGCCTGGATCATCTTCCCGCCAAAAAGCTCGGTAAGCGCCGCCTAAGCATCGACGACGACGCACATGCGCCCGGGCAACACGGGATTGACTGGGTGTGCCATATAAGAAACTTCGAGCATCACTCACGCCGCGAAGGCGGTGAGGGATATAGGCGTCGAGGACAGTCGAGCAGGCGGGATGAGTCTTGCTTCAGTAAGACTCGAGCAGCGCTGTTCGCGCTTTAAGAGCACTGCGTTGAGGACCGACGCGTATGAGCAGTGGGCGGGATGCGTAGGACATAGTCTGTGTAACCAAAGGTGCGGGTCTCGCATGTGGAATTTGAATATGGCTCATCTCGAGGAGAACAACTCGTTCATATCTCGTGATGGTTGTTGGTAGAAGAAGAGTTGCGAGCGAAGAAGCAATTGTGGGCGTCAAACGTCAAACCCGGCAGTCGGGCCGCAATCTGCTCGCAGCGACTCTTGCGGTCCACGCAACTCAGCCGCGAACCAGATATTCTTGCGCTGGGAGCGCTTCAACCACCCCCGCCGTTCTTTGATACAACTGACGCCATGCTCGGCGCGTCGCTTGCTCGTTCTGGACAGCCCAATCACCACTCAGCTATAAGCGTCACATACAGCTTCCTCGCCTACCCACGGGGGTCCTCGTCTTCGTACGCCGCGTCAAGGCGAAACAAGACACAATTCGCCTTGTGGCCACGTACAACACGCTAGCTAATCTGATGAGCTACTGAATGAAACGTGATGGCGGTACGCAGACGGTAATGCAGCTGTAAGAGGCACTCTGGGCTTCGAAGGAGCGAGGGCATAGGTACATCTATTGTTCTTAGCATCGTTCATACCCTCTCCTCACCAACGTACTTATAGCACAATACATGTCGAGCTTCAAGGCTTCCGGTAGTTCTCATTCATCCGCATCATACGAGGGGGCGCCCACGTTGCTCAACGCGTCTCCCGCCGTCACGCGCGCCTTCAACGTACCCGGCCAACAAGTTCGATGTGCGAGGCCTATCGTCTGGCCATATGCCCTATCGAGTTGAGAGTTACAAATGTTGCACCACTGCAACGGCCCGGCGAGCCCAATAGTCACCGACTTGGCGGAGGTTCAGCGATCTAGAAGGCCAGACGCTGGGAGTACCAATCTTGGGAGACATACCACGATCATTCACGCCGGGATTCGGCGGAGCAAGATCTAAGGGGCTAGAGTTCAGACTTACGAAGAAGTCAATGCAAGTGGAGACTCGAGAGACGGGCAGGATAGCACTACGGATGTAGTACAGGTGCGCAATAAGATCTTGGGCTCATTCGCGCTTATGCTAACAACCGCAATCGTAGGTCGGACTCGGCTTGTTCGTTACGTCGACCACCTAGTCAATGTCGACGTCATTCTTCACATCTGTACCCTTACTCATGAGGCTTTCGAGCAAGCCCTCCGCCGCGTTCATCTTGCATTTGCTACTGGTTGAGTAACATGATCCCACAACGTTCATGCCAGTATACATTATAAACACGACACATTCAGTTTGCGACTCAAACGCACGAATATATATGGATCCGAAACCTGATGATCGAACTACGAGAGACCTCGCGCAGCGAGATGTTGCAATGTCCATGAGCACGGTGCCATTCTACGCGTAGGCCGAAGCATCGCGATCGCCGAAGTAAGCCTGGGAAGACGCGGAAGGCGGCGTCGGGCGCTCGTCGTACCTACGTCCTGACACATTAGCGACACTTTCAGTGCGAACAAGAATGCCCACTTACGTCTCCTCGGCAGCGCTCTGGCGTACCTCCTCTATGACATCCTTTTCAGAGCCATTCTCTGCCTCGTCTGCGACACCGCCTTCTCCACCGCCCTGACCTTGCGCGCGGGCGTTGTGGTTGATGTAGCTTGGGTTCGACCTAGCTCATCGTCGTCAGTCATATACTTGTGTGAACGAACGAGCTGCGTACTCGAGGCCAAGCGACATGGAGTTCTGAGCAGGACGCTCGCCAAACTCGATCTCTCCCAGCGGCGAACGTGCCCTGCGCGTGCGAGATGTGGGTTTCCAGCCGAACCAGCCGCACACGGTGCATATGATGCGCCAGTACGTTGCGCGGGCTTCCGATGTGATTCCGAAGAGGCCGAAGATGGCGAGTGCGAGGATGGGCGACGTCCGATTAGTGAAGTAAAATCTTGCTACGTCGAAAGGCCCGCCGGACACTATGTCTGCATAGGCAACACCCTCCGGCTGCCAGTCTGCGTGGCCAGTTATCCAGCCAGTGTAAAAGGGGAAGGTACCAAGGTACAAATCGTTTCTCACGGCCAGGACGATAGCTACAATGCCCATAGGCAAGGTGAGCAGGATATCGATGCTTGCAAGGGCAAGAATCCGGAAGTAGTTCGTGCGGGAGAATCAAAGCAAATCGTTCATATTGCCTGATGGTCGCTGGGAGAGAAAGAGTCGTGGCGACGAAACAACAACCGCGGGCGTTGGGCTCGGCACTCGGGCCGCAATAAATGTGCGCGACGGGCTGCTACGGGCGACAAGGCTAACTTCGCTCTTGCGACCACGACGATGGCGAACAACCTGTCTTTGTCCCTCGGGCCTAATCTCTTAGCCTCCTCCTAATCGTTACCGCTTTCTCCACTCGTTACGCCCCGATATCTTCCGGATTCTCCTGACGCAAACTGTAGAATGGGGCACTTCAGCCTGCAAGTCGGCCACGAACCGAACATTCGACCTTCCTCCCCACCCTCAAGGCATCTCGTCCTCCTACGCCGTATCCGAGGCGGACCTCAGCATGATCCACTGTACGCGCATCTCGGCACGCTCACGGACGAGTTGAATTGCCGTCACAGCTGCGCTTGCGAACAATACTTCGGCGCCAGCGAACTCAATATGCCGCAAGAGGCACTTAGTGGAAGTTGTTGTGGTCACGGAGCGAGGGCGCAGGTACGTTCGTCGCTGTCAACATTTTTGCTACCCTTTACTCATTGTTCTATAGCACAATATATCCCGAACTCTAAGGCCTCCCCCGCCGCTCTGGCTTCGTAGCACGATGCCACTATTCCTGTGTATATACGGCATGATCACGATATATGAAGTTCCAGGAATAACAACGCGCGTACATACGAACTCGAGAACCGATGGAGAACTACAAATGGCCTCGCACAACGAGAAGCCGCAGCGCTGCTGCTCAGAAACGTCTATGAGTATCGCCCTACACCAGGGTCGAAGTAAGGCCGAAGCCAGCCTGGAAAGACGCGGAAGGCTGCGTCGGGCGCTCGTCGTGCCTACCCAACGCGTTAGCGATACTCTCAGTGCGAATAATGTTGAATGCCAACTCACGTCTCCTCGGCGGTACTTCGAGGTACTTCCTCCATGGTATCCTTCTCTGAGTCATTCTTTGCCTCGCCCACGATATCTCCTTCTCCACCGTCCTGATCTCGCGCGCGGGCGTTGGAGTCGATGTAGCTCGGATTCGACCTAACTCATCATCGTCAGCCATATACTTGTGTGAATGAACGAGCTGCGTACTCGAGACTCAGCGTCATTGAGTTCTGAGCAGGACGATTGCCGAACTCAATATCTCCCAGTGGCGGACGTGCACTGTGCGCGCGAGGTATGGGTCGCCAGCCAAACCAGCCGCCGACAGCGCATACGACGCGCCAGTACGATGCGCGGGCTTCTGAGGTGATGCCGAAGAGGGCGAAGATGGCAAACGCGAGGACGGGTGACGTCCATTGTTAGAAGTAGAACTCTGCCACATTGAAAGGCCCGTCGGCTACTATCTCCGCATAGGTAACGCTCTCCGGCTGCCAATCCGTGTGATCAGCGGTCCAGCCAAAGTAGAATGGCAAGGTGCCGAAAGATATATTTTCTTTCACGGCCAAAACGATGGTCGCAATGCCAATAGGCAATGTGAGTAAAATGTCGATGCTTGCAACGGCAAGAATGCGGAAGTAGTTCGTGCGGGATACCGAGTTGTTGCTTTGTAGAAAGTGGTTGACCTCCCGATTATGGAGATAGAAGCTTCGGGCTACATGAACTGGGGTACTGGGCGTCAACATTGCAAGATCAAGGAGTGACCGTACAGACTAATTTGACGTACAATAGTGGAAAGTGATAGACGCCAGGGGAGGCAACACACTCCATGATTGAATCAACAAGATGTTGAGTACTGATCCGTCGGAGGCGTTGAGGCAGCCAAAACCCTCTTCGACCGCAAATCGGAGTTCCTGGACGATGTAGTCTGCGGGCGCGCTGAGCGCTTGTTGTAGCGTTCGAGCCATAGGCGTACTCACAGAAAGGTCCTGCAACCAAAAGGGGAATGCCCAGACCGAGGGTCCACTCTATTGCAAGATTCCTGCGCCTCTGTTGCTGGAGTCGGAATGAGGAAATCAGTCACGCACTGCAACTCACCGCCGCTTTGGTAGGAGGTCCTACGGAACGTAGGTTGGTGATCAGATACAACCGGCGAGTGATGATGAGAGTGGCCATGGGTTTGACAACCCCGGTGATAATTTGCATGAGCGAGACTGCTCGATGTGATGTCAGATTAAGAGTATAGGAGTATTGAACAGCCCAATCGAAGATATACTGACCGATGTCCCAATAGACGTAGAGCTTGATGTCGGCGTTATCGAACCATATGACAGAGTCGATGCCGTCGGTAAGAGTCTCAAAGAAGAGCCAGAAACAGAGAAAGGCGACACTGAGGTTCTAGCTTTGGCGAATGAAGCTAGTCAGCAGCACGAGGAGTAGCATTGCTGCAACCAGAAAGCAAGCAATGGGATACAGTGGGTATGTTGGATCCACAGCTGCCATGGCACCGTATGGTCGGTTCGAGCACTGTGGTCCTACTTATATCTGATTCCAGCAGAAGGACGAGAGCGCGCCTACGTTCTGACAGCCAAGGCGTAAAAAGATGCATATATCATTCTGTTGTCGTGAATGCCAAGCGTGCCGGCCAGGCGCTGACTTCATACATCTTGGACTTGACGTGAGGTAATATATTAAACCCAGGGGCCATCGCGCGTGGCGCATACAGTTTGAGACGTATGTGGATGAACGCACCAGACAATAGTTGCGATGTAGAGATGGTAGCCATGCGTCTGGGAAAGAATCCTCTGCGTGTTGCGCGTCGTGCATCGGATTATGGGTGTTCATCACGATCACGGGTAACATCACGATAAGCGAGAGTCAAGCGCCGTCTGCGCATGTTAGCGGGGTGCGAGTTAGTCCAGATTACTCGGCTTGTTCTGCACGGTGTGCAGTGCGCCATGACGGCCCAGCCACTGTCGAAGGACATTGGCATTTCAGAGTTCGATACGTTCCTCACAACGTGGATACAATATTTGCATCTAGTCGTTCGTCAGTGCACTCTCTGACATACGAGTGGGAAATGCGTCCGAGGAAGCTAAGATATGCCATTGTGAGTCGTCCTAGTGGTCTACGTACGCGCTCTCAGGCTTGATGGAACGCTCGGTTGACCGAGTGATCAGATCTTCGAAGCTCGGCAGGCGCAGGTTCACAGTGGTGATGAGGCGCGCCCTAGACAGGAGTCGTGACCCTTGCGATGCAGGCAGGAAGGATAACATAGTGATTGAGAATAATCGTGGTAGTCAATAGCAGGAAGGCACACGCCACCATCTGGTTCGGAGCGCGCGCTCGGTCACGTTTCCGAGTGCATCCCTTGTTGCACTCTGCACTCACGACCACCACCGACGACGACGGACGACCCATCTAGCGTTCAAACCCACGATACCCTAGCGAACTCGAGGCGTTGTTCCTCAGAAGGATGGAATAGAAGAAGCGTACATAGACGCTATTCTGGCATTGTTGCGAGGAACGGGAGGAAGAGTAGCTCGAGAGAGATGGAGCGTCATGGCACCTCGTGGCACGTTACTCTGGTGGGCGGACCTATACAGGTGCGTGAAGGACTCCAGACTGCTCCTGCATATGGTGACGAACGCCCTCGTAGGTTGGCTCATGTGACCCCACCTACTCTCGAAGATGGACAGATACAAGACGCAGGCGCGCGGCGTCGATCCATTTCGCTCGCTCACTTGCACGACGAATGTAGGAAGCTCCCTGTGCTGATGTACTTCGGTGGGCCGAAGCAAGATCGAAGGCTTCCTCTATATTCTTACAATCTCAATGATCTCAACACTCCCCATGTTCTGGCTGCACCGCGAAAGCTGTATACCGTACATCATACCCACATTCAAACTTTGTGCCATCACGCACTTCCGGCGCCACCCGCAGTCAAGGACCACGCCTGCGGCCGTTCATTCTTTTTGATTTATCGGAGTGTGTCCCCAGATACCGAAAGCGTGGGCAATATGTGCCCTTCACGTCGCCGGAGAGACGCGATCCGGCTCAGGGAGACTTCACTGTGGCCATCGTCGGTGGCGGTATTGTCGGGCTAATGTGCGCTATAGGTATAGCGCGGGGTGGGGTACAAGTGGACGTGTTCGAAGCTGCGGTGAATGGCACGCTAGATTCTCTGAAGGCTGGAATGGTTCTAACTCTGATTTCCAGTCCAAGTATGGTGACATCGGAGCTGGGATCGGTGTCCGTCTGTCTACTCTATTCTTAGCGATCCGAGGGCAGCGTTGACGACGGGACTTGCAGGGCCTACGGCGGTCAAATGCCTCGAGCTCATGGGCATACTGGACGAAGTGGTAGCGCGTTCGCAAGGCCAAGGGCCGTCCATGCGCCTCTTCCGCTTCACTCGCGGAGCCGACCCGCACGACGTGATATACGAGGTGCGCGCTCTCTCACGAACGCGCTTAAGCATAACCATGACTGACGCGCGATACCGCAGTACCCACCGGGCCCATACACTGAGAACGAGACTATGGGCCTCGGGCTTCATCGGCGAGTACCTATGGGACGTGTTCATCTTCGAGGGCTGAGCCTCGACGTTGAGTGCTGCGTTCTTGGAGGCGCTTTCACGAATGCTGCCGCCTCTCGTGAAGTCCCATTTCAACAAGCGCTGCGTGGGCATCGAATCTGGCGCTACGGCGGCCGACCGTGTTCTCTTGCGCTTCTCGGATGGTAGCACGCACGAAGCAGATGTCGTCTTGGGAGCGGATGGAATCAAGAGCACCGTTCGCATGAAGGGTATGTGTCCACTTCTGGGGCGGCAATCGGTGAATATACTGAATGAATGTCGCCAGTGTTTGGCGCGAAGGGCGATCGCCTCGTGGACACAGGAACGCGCGCGTACAGAGGTCTTATCCCTGCTCAGCGCTTGAGAGACGCAGGTATCAAGGACGAGATGCTAAGACCATGGCCGCGAGGTTGGTTGGGAAAAGACCAGGTGCGCCCTCTACAAGCGCGTACTATCAAGAGTGCGCTGACGTGGCTTCCTGCGAAGCACATCATCAGCTACCCCATCCAAGACGGATCCATACACAACGTCGTCGCCTTCTCAACCGACTTCGCCAATGCAGTGGTTCCTCCGGGTCCCCAATCGTCATGGACGACATGGGTAACGCCCGTGACGCGTCAAGAGACGCTGGAAGAGTTCAAGAACTTCGGCTGTGACGCGCGCACGATGCTTCAGTGCATCGAAGCTCCGAGCAAATGGGCCGTCCACGGCTTGTACCCACCGCTCGAAACATACGTCGCTGCTGTCGGAGAAGGGGAGAGGCTCAATGTTGCTCTTATCGGTGACGCCGCACACGCAATGTTGCCCCATCTCGGCTCGGGCGCGGGTACCGGGATCGAGGATGCATACGTATTGGCGAGCTTACTTGGGCACCCGCAAACGAGGCGGAGTAACCTATCTGTGCGTCATGACCCTCTGTATCGGAACATCCGTTACTGACCCGACCTTTCATCAGGACATCTTGCGCGCGTACGATCAAGTACGTGTGCCAAGAGGGTCATTCATCGCCAGTGCCAGCAAG